GTGGAGGTACTGTGCTGTCAAACGATTCATTCTAAGATTCCCCATCGTATAAGCACGATATGAGTCCCAGTTCTCTAGCAGGTATTTTAGCACTGACACTTGAACGATCATTCACCTCTTAGAAATACGGATATATGATTTGTAATAGTGGAAAAGCAAGTAGCGGAACCAACACCGTGATTTGCTTTGAAGCACCTTTCATCAATCGAACAAACACAAGCAGACAAAACAGGGGCCACCGTTTCGTTTCCATGGCCATTGTCCATTGTCCAAAAGTTCGTTAACAGAACTACTTCACGAAAAAGAAATTGGGTGGAAATACAGGAGCATACAATCAGACGTGGTGGCTGATACTCGTTCTACCCTAGCAAGATTAGTTCAGTGGGCTGCTTCGAGTTCGTTTGCAATGTTAATGATAGCTGCATTGATGAAAGTCAAAGTAGTAATTGTTTCTATGTTTTGTGCTTTTGTGTTTTGTCAAGCAGCCAGGCAAAGTTCCAGACTTATTCGCACGAATTTCTTCTCCGTTTCTAATAAAAAGGAGCAATAAACGGAAATGGTGACTCACGATTGATGACTCTCCATCAGGTCCCATGTAACATTCCGAGCGGTCTCCATGAGCTCGGTTTCGGGCAAGCTCATAGAGCGAGATTTTGGCTCTGAAAGCTTTTCAGTTGTATACAATGCTGTGGAAAGAATTGAAGCAAGCAAGCCAAAAACATTCCGAGAACGAATTACAAGTCGATAATCGATTGGGTACTGTAGTGTCTTCAGGTAAGAATATGTAGTATATATATATTTTCGTCATGGAAAAGACGATTCAAAATATACATCCGTCATGAGTATGAAATATTCGGAAATGGCATCTGATAAAACGGATTAGAGACCACAACAAACAGCAAATGAGGACAGTGAAGCTAGGACAAACTCTAACGGCACCTTGCTGGCATTGCCACTTATCAACCTAAAAAAAGCTGGGTATGGAAACCTAGCCTCATCGAAAGAAATCTCCTTCTTTGTATGGCCCTACTTTTCTTGATTTTTTAGGGACCTCATACAAATGGAAATCTGAAAGCAACGTTACCTCGAACAGGAGGGCACTAGCCTCATGAAGTACATCCGGGACATTGTCGAAAACCAAACGTCAACTTTATTCACGTCGCTGGCTGAATGATCTGCTACAGCTAGAAAGGGGGATATCAGGTTGGTTGAATTGACGATGGGCCCTAGCTTTAAATACTGACAAGGAAGAGATCTCAAGTCAAAGTGGCCATTTGAAATGAGAACCTACACTACTAGGCGTATTTTTTGATGCTGATTTCGTATCTGCATTCAAAGTCCGCCAAACGATTCCTTGAACGAAGTTATGGAGTCTCCAGAGAGTGGTCTCAACAGAGGCAAGCTCAACGAACATGGTCGCTGGTACCCTAGATGTGGCGGTTTGGACTAGAGGTAAGCGCGACGCTTTATAGGCATGGGACCATGTATCGGGTTTGTTGGGCAACGGCATTTTGCTTTTTCAGGACTATCTCCTCCAAGTTGTAAAAACTTTTTATAATAGTTTTACCGTCTTGGCGCCTTCCTAGAGCATTTATTACATCGAGTTAAGCGAACAAATTCTCAATATCTCAAATTTGCGTGTATTCTTGCGATTCAGTTCTCCGGTTATTTTCACTTGTGTACTTTCAATTCTGTGCTCCTATGTTGTAGAAGTTTCTCTCATACTCATGACACGCTGCTGGCTACTCAAGGGATTTTTGTCATGTTGGCGCTCAGAGAAGATGTCAGATGGTTTAAACAAGAACTACTTCACCTCCAGCATTCAAAAAGTCGCCGAAGGCGGTAAAACTAATATAACAAGGTTTTTACAACTCGGAGGAAATAGTCCCGCAACTGCAAAAACGCCACCCCCTCCCGCTAAATCCGATCTTCGGTCCCAGCCCATAAGGCGTCACGCTAACCTCCACTCCAAGCCGTCGCTTCTGGCGTGCCGGCGGCCACGTCTTTTTTGCTTGCCCCCTGTTGAGACCGCTCTCCGTAGACCATCTCCATAACTTCGTTCAGAGAATCGTTGGCAGATTTTGAATGCAGATTCAAAATCAGCATCAAAAAATACAACTTGCAGTGTAGGTCTCATTTCAAATGGCCACTTGGACTTGGTATCCTTCCCTTGTGAGCATCGCCCGTACCACACCCCACCCTTTTAATCATCAATTTCCTCAAGCGGGCCACTCACGCCTCTACGGTTTCTCGTGAGGAGCCGGAGTAGTTCAGTCAATCGCCCCTTCACGTGACACGAGGCATAGCACTCCTTTCGTATAGAGCTTTCGTAAGGATATCCGATAACCGGCTAAAAGTCTTTCTTGTTCGTTTAAGTCTTGTCATTCGTTCCGTCTGCTCGATATTTCATGTTATAAGTAGAATGTTGCCTGCAAAGCGGAGATGATGTAAGTGGATGCATTCAGCCATTCACACTCACTATATAGGCAATATAATGGAGGTCGATGTTAGATCGTTCCTAATGAATGTATTCCGAACCCTCGTAGGAGTCTGATGAGGAGAAAGAAGATAACCCCAATGCGTAGTAATAAAAAGATATATCGAAAAGCGGATTGAGGCACATGTTTCATTTTATGACTAGGGGTATCTTGCAGAAGGTGAGGGTAAATATTCGGGACAATAATTTTTAACTGTTGTGTGGCCCAAGCGCTACTCCCCTACAAACGAAGTAGGCTTCCAGTGTACGCAGAGAACGTTCAAAAATTTGGATATACAAAAACACAGAAAAACTATAACGTTATCTAAAAATTCAATAATATCAGCTGAATAAGAACTGCTATTTTTTGACGAGTGGGACCGCAAATAAAGACACGTGGATTTAGAGCGATAAAGAAGCGAAAAAAGACTTAGATCCAATAATGCAATGTTACCAACAAAAGCGCACAAAAATGTAGTATGAACAACAAAAGTGCAACACTATCGATTTAGAAGAAAAATGTAACACCAAAAGATCATAGCTCATAACTTCTCGTTGGATAATTAGATTTGGAACAAAAGCTCCGGCAGAGGCATAAACACCCATTGATGAAACAACAAAAGCTCCTGTAAAATCATCGGATATAAATAAGCGCGGAAAACAATCTCCAACATAGGCGTTCCAATCAAAATGTTGTTCGCTTCTACAGTGCTGTTCATCACTCTAGCAACTCGTGAGGCTTATGGTAAGACACAGTATACCACAGCATTCATAGTTTGTCATCTTATAGCACCATTCTGCGGCATACCCCTGCTGAACAAGTTGCCCTAAACCTCCTCTTTCAGGCTCTGGTAATAAAGATACATTCGAGGCCATCAATAAGAAATACAATACACACCTGGTCAGTTTTCTCGAAAAGTTCAGCTAGATACGGTAAATTTCCCCATAGAGTAGCTACCGTTTCTGCCTGAAGTGGCGGTAAGTTTGTAAGTTAGGTAAGCAGCGGTAAGTAAGGTAAGTTGATGGTGCGAGCTTCTGCACCCGTCCACCACCACAATCACAGTATAATCACTGTATCGAAACCCTCCTAAATAGTCAGGGTTCTACAGTCTCTGTAGCGGTACAATACTATATCTTTGCTGATCGACGCAAGAAGCGAAAAAACGAGAACGCAACTTCATTTTGTATGTCATTGGGATGACATTCAGAAGTGGGATGATGACTTGGCGGCCAAGGCAATGGTGGAAGCTGTTCCGTCATATTACAGATTATTATGGAATGCCGGCGACTATCTTGCGATCAGAAATGACAAGTTGGTTTTTACTAATCTGTGGACGTTGCCTCTCCTTTAGAAAAACATTTTGAATGTTTAGGATGTTTACGAAGAAGTATGTAGGACCTCTGGAGGAAAAAGTGCGCCTGATCCTGCTGAACCCTTTCAAAAAGAATGCAGATAAAGTGAGTTGAATTTACCGGTTATATTAACCATATAACTGAATACAGCAGACTTGGCAGAGTTGGTTTCTTGCGTTCACACCAATAGCAAAGTACAATGTGCTGTAAAGACCGACACATGTTCAAGAATTACATAGAACTTTTTCGCCTAGATGAAGTTCCTTAGCCCAACCCATCCTCTTTTGTGCCAAGATGCGAAAAACCCCTAGGAACAAGTAAAAGAATGCAGATGGGCATGTTAAGATTCACCTTCGGGTAAAAGGCTCAGAGTAGAACAGTTTTAGGGACACAGGATCCATTGAGAAACCCAAAGCTTTCTCGTGCTTGTCTGGGGCTATCCCGCCAAGCCTACTCTCCCTTCCCCTACGACATTCCTGAGAGCTCCTTCTCTCGAGACCGCACTCAATGTGACCACATTTTTTATGAGTAGCACAACAAATAGCGTAATTTTAGCTTCGCCAACTTCCCGAAGGAACAACCTACGGATGTAATGGATATTTCGACACTGAGACGATGCCAAACGACGACTGGCTTTATGTCGCCTGTGTCTACAAAACCCCCAATTGAGATTAATGCAATTCAGATTTTCTCAATAAACTTGCATGGAAGTCATAAAAAAGTTATTTAAAAAACAAGAAAAAACGTTGAAATGCGCTGACAATGTGGACTTTAGCCTTGAATGGACCAGTCGCTTTCTTTATGCAGGAGAGCTTTGGTGGTTTTTGATATTTAGGAGCCAATAACACATTTTATGAATAACTTCAGATTTTGGTGTAGGTGGTGTACTAGCAAGTGGCGTACTTCACACACGCATTGCCACGGGTACCCGGATCGGTATCCGTTTAGGCCAACTAATCCGTCCATCACTCTAAAGTTGATAATTGGTACCAGACTCTTCTAGGAAAAAAGAAAGCACTAACTTGTACAACAGCTGGCCACCGCAAGTCACTGTATAGGCCACACACACACACATTCAAACGCCACTACGACTCTGAGTGGAAGTCGAATGAGGGGAGCATGACTTACGTGGGATCAATCAACACCCTAACACTTAATCCATTACCCTTGAACTTTAGATGTAAGAACGATCACACCCCATAATTATAGAATCGAACAATATTCTTCGATGCATTGTGAGAGGGGATATTTTCTCTAGTAGGGCACCACAGATGGGCGAGAACAGGTGTAGCTTCACTTCTTGTGTCAGTGGTATGCTTCTGCATTTGGTTGTCGCAGTCTAAATGGGCGGATGGCAATATTAAGTGGAAATCAAGTGAAATCAGTATAAAAGAGAAATTCAAGTTTTGCGAGCTGTATACAAACTGAAGCAATTTGAGGAGCAAAAAAACAACAGTTAAGTAGGACATTGAAAGTCCAAGTTCCTCGACTGTCTGATAAACAAGTGTTATAGATTTAAATTGAGGACCAAATCTACTTTGATTGGGTTAGATTTCAAATACCTCGCGGAAATACTACAAAGACTGGTACGCAAAAATCAGTCCCCAAGTAAATGATTCATCCATTCATTCAAATAATTAAGGATTTTAATTGGGAAGTCTGGTAAAGGAAGTTATGCGAATGAGTCAAAGGCAAATGGTATATTATTTGTAGCTGTTTTGTGAATATAGGTTATAAGAAAGTTCATTTTCATTCAAAAAAAATATCTACAACAATGACGTATGAACAGTAATCGAAATAGGGAACTTCCCCAGTCACGACATCTTTCCACGGATTGGGCAGGCATTATTGCCATCANCCACTTACTGCACACTTAACATCCTGTCGGCTATCGAGTTTTTCCCTTCGAGGTGCTCCTGTACTCTTCTAACGGCACTTAAGTCACAAGGGCCAAGCTTATGTGAACATGGAGGGTGGACATGTGGTACCAAGTTTTTCCAGCTCCCCTGTCGCCGTCCTCGCATGGCATGGTCGAGCGTTGTCCATCACACATTCCTTTGAGCTAGTGTGAAAGAGAGGCTGAGGCTCGAGACAGAGCACCGCCTCTCTCAGTACTTCGTAGAACAGTCTCGTAGTAACAGGAGCACCGTGGGTTAGGATCTCATAATATCAACACTCGGCATAGCAGATGGAAAACGCGATTATACCCCCCTCGACGTGGTCGCTTCAGTTTGCAACGGTTCCTGGCTTCACGTGCGATGGCAGGTATTGTATGTATACTCCTGTGCGGATTTCATAAAATTCCTGTGTGAATCCCACAAACCCCACTTCCCATCATGAATGATAATGGGGCTCGTCCCAGTCATCGTTCGCCTGCGGTTGAAGAGGTTCTGGCGAACGTCGACTCGCGCTCGATGCTCGCGCTCAGGTAAGGAGCGAGGTATAAATGCAGAAGGTGTTGCACGATAGCGACTATTGTATAGGACGTCGTGGATAATGGATTGGGAAGTAAAAGGCAAACTCTTCACCACCCTCAATCTATGAAGAGGATTGCTCGGTACGAAAGCAGTGCCGGTATGGGTAGAATGTATACGCCCACTCTGTGTTCTTCATCCGAAAAGATCACTCATTAGAAAATCGATAGTAACACCTATAGCAGGATGCGACGGAGGATGTAATGCTGCCCACAATGACCGTAATTCATTCTGGGCGTTTCAGTAACATCAATAACAAAAATTTCCCATTTTCTGACAAATAGAATTCCGCAAATTACAATACGTGAGCAGCTTCAATAAAGCAAAATGCACAACAAAAGGGCAAAATCTATTGAAAATCTAGAAGAAAAAGGTAATAAAAAATTTTTGGGCTCATGGTTTTTCAATTAGCCAATATTTTCAAAATAGAAGCCACGACGTACGACACGTACGACACGTACGACGAGCGACATACATATGTATATCCCATTGATAAAGAACAACAAAAGTTATGTAAAATCATCGGATATAAATGAGCGCGGAAAAGAAGTCCCAACATAGGCGTTCCAATCAAAATGCTGTTCGCTTTTACAGTACTAGTCATCACTCTAGCAACTTGTGAAGCCTACGGTAAGTCACAGTACACCACAGCATTCATAGCTTGTCATCTTATACACCATTTTACGGCATACTTCTGCTGAACAGGTGGCTCTAAGCATCCTCTTTCAGGCTCGGATATGAAAAGCATATTCGAGGACATCAATAAGGAATACAACACACATCTGGTTAGTCTTTCTTAAACGTTTGGCAACATACGGTGGGCTTTCCCTAAAAGTAAGTTCTGTTTCTGCCTAAAGTAGTGGAGGTAACATACTGACACGTTAATTGGTGCGGGACTAACGCAGAGGTAGAAAATGAGTACCAGTTTCTGTACAACCGCTACCATTGTATGATTATTGTATGGAAATTCCCTCCTAAACGGTTTACAGTCTCAGTAGAAGTCGGGCCTCCTAGTTTGTTGATCGACGCAAGAGAAGGTAACTACAGTTGTATTTTATTGAAATGGCATTCAGAAGTGGAATGATGACTTGGCGGCTGAAGCAATGGTGGAAGCAGTCAGGCCAAACTACCGATTATTACCGATTAGCGGCGATTACTTCAAGATCAGAAACGAAAAGTTGGCATTTGCTGGATTGCGGAATTTTTCCCACTTTGGGAGAAAATTCTGAAAGTTTAGGATGTTCACGAAGAGGTATGTAGGACCTCTGGAGGACAAAGTGCGCCTGATCCTACTGAACCCCTTCAAAAAATATGCGGAAAAGGTGAGGTGGATTTTTTGGTAAAGCAAATCATGCACCAGAATACAAAAGTCGTGGCAAAATTGGCTTCCTGGGTTCACACCAATCACAAATTCAATTAATACGGTGTAAAGACCAGGGGGTATGTTCAAGAATTCTGTCTAAACAGAACGTACCTGCCCCAATGAGGTGGAGACAACATGAATCCTCTTCTCCCTAGCTCATCACACTATCTTTTGTGGCGAGGCGCAAAGAAGCTTATAGTTGTAAGGAAAAGACTGCAGATGAAAATGTCAAGATTCACTTTCGGATAGAGGATTAAGAACACAATATAGTTTTGGGGGACTCGAAGTAAGCGCAGACCTTAAAATGCTCTCTTCCCTGTCTGTGGATATCCTGATGGACTCACCCTCATTGCCACCAGCGACTACTCCAATAGCTCCTTTCCTCGATACTTCACTTAATATGACCACCTTCTTCATGAGTACCACGACAAATGGCACATTTTCAGCTTCGTCAACTTCCCGAAGGAACAATCTACGGATGTAATGGATTTTTCGACACTGAGACGATGCTGAAGGACGACTGGCTTTATGTCGCCTGTGTATACAAAACAAAAGGTGAAGAACCAGTCAAGCAACCAGGTTACCCCAGGAAATAATAATGTAGTGAAGCACTGAAAAACTCATATTCCATGATATGCTGGGACAAGTCTAACAGATTTCAACAGTCCATATTCAGTTTTGCCCTCTTGAAGTCGGGGTCGGCTTTTATGATGAACTGACCCCTCTTTCCCGATTAATTGCTTGGCCAGGATTAAGGCAACTATTTTCAAGTCTCCGTGCAAGCAGAAAGCGATGCTTTGAACATCCTTCAACCGTTTTCTCAGCGCCATGAGAAATACGCCTCTTTTACAGCCACAATTCCCAGCTTCGCCTACTCTAACGATGAATGAGCTCCCTCATTGCATCGTTGGGAATATGGCGCGTTACCGAAATCGTCTAGCGTATAACTTTTGTCACCTTTACTCTGAGGCAAGCTTCAATTCCCCTAGCTGAAAGCAATGCACCGCACTGTAATTCGCGACTAACAATCCTGCAAATTGCTATTCTAGTAGTACTTCCTTGTCGCATTAGTACTTCCTTGTCGCAGAAAGCGCTAGTCTTTGAGCGTCATTCAGATCAAGTCGCACTCGTGAATGAATTGATTAAGAGGCAAGATTTTCATCAGTTGCGATTTCCCATTATGCTCGAAGATAGACGAAAGATGATGCGAGGAGATGTCAAGGGGGAAGCTAAAGACCGTCAGTCTTGATGGTGTCTTGCTCATTTGACACCAGGAAACTCCCTCATAACCCGAACAAGCGAGACGTACTGCTCTTCACTTCACGGTGATTCTAGAAAACGACCCGAGCGATATGTACTGACCGCATCAGTGCACCGTACAGTGCATCACACCAAATGGTGGAGAGCCGGCTTTTTGTATGGTCTTTTGCAACTCGTTCAAATCCTAATAATGTCAGTAGAAGCAGCAATCTACACGAAAATCAACAACTACAGTAATCATCAAGACGAACAGGTATTTATTTGCCTTATCATCAGGATGAACTTGTAAGGAGTAGAGAATACCCTCGGGAGCCATTGCAGATGAAACTCATTAGAAACAGTCCACGATCGGCTTCATTGTAATCTTGGCATGCATATAGTGGAGAGAAACCCTATTCAAGCCTCTCGAGATTGAACACTTTATTTGGTTGGTTGGTTCGGCTTGGTTCGCCTTCGTCAGGGCCTGAAATAGTGCAAAGCATATTTGTGGCATGCTCGCCCAGACGCCTGAACAAAACTCCAAGAAAACTTCAAGTAGACTAGCAAACCCGTATAGGTATTGACCGGATTAGGCATGGATTGCTCACCTTAGAGGTGCGCCGCTAAGATAGGACGACGAGCACCTCGGACTAACTGTTGTTCAAAATAACCAGTAGAACCTCCCACTGACCTCAGTGTAGATTAAAGGTTGCAGAAGTCAAGGAAGGGTGCGAGTTCACGGGTTACGGCCACACACTCCTCCTCTCTGTTCATAAGGGAGCCTTTAGCGGTAATCCAAAGCGCTTCCAGGGTCTTGCGCGCCACGATCTCGGGTTCAAGCGTCAATGTGGACACGGAATCGTCAAAGGATAGACCTGCGTGGATCAAAACCCGATAGACTCCTAGGTGGGCTATGCATCCTTGATCCAGCCAGCCCATTTAGATGCTCTTTAACCCGAACGCACAAAGGGCGACCTGTTTCTCCTATGTACTCGCATCTACAGCTTTGGCGACGTATGGAGTAGACAACTCCTACCTATCGTCTTGAACACCACACCGACGCACAATTGTTCGGATAGATCTACTCACTTCCTCGAAGATGAAAGGCAAACAGAAAGTCACCTTGTTAGGTCGTATTCTTTTCCGGGTTGTCGGCGTGGAGAAATACCTCCGTGTGGCCCAGGGCACGGATATCCGTCCAACGAGGCTATGCTCTGGGCTGAACGCAAGAGCTCCTTTTTCAACTCAGCTTCGGATGAAACTTTATTTGCGACCCTAAGCATATTTCTGACCACCGCGTGTTTGGTTTTTATAGGGTGCGCCGATTGGGAGTGAACAATTATGTTTTTACAGCTTGGCTTGCGGTATCATTTTGTTCTTGCTATGCCCCTAGTATTACCTGAACTTGGATATTCAAAAATGGCAACCAATCCTCCACAGGCTTTCCCGTGTAAAACTGATCTTTTCCGACTGCTTGTTCAGGAGATCGTAACAAATGCCCATTTCTTCCTGAGTCGGAAATATGATATGGCAGTCATCAATGGACATTTGTCCAGAACAGGCCGTCAGAAAACATCAATTTTACACGGGAAAGCCTGTGGAGGATTGGCTGCCATTTTTGAATATCCAAGTTCAGGGGCATAGCAAGAACAAAATGATACCGCGAACCAAGCTATAAAACCATAATTGTTAACTACCAATCGGCGCACCCTATAACCCTATAAAAACCAAACACGCGGTGGTCAGCGATATGCTCAGGGTCGCAAATAAAGTTTCATCCGATGCTGAGCTGAAAAAGGAGTCCTTGCGTTTAGCCCAGAGCAAGGCCTCGTTGAACGGATATCTGTGTCTGGGTCAACACGCAGGTATTCCTCCACGCCGACAACCCGGAAAAGATTACGACCTAACAAGGTGACTTTCTGTTTGCCTTTCATTTCCGAGGAAGTGAGTAGATCTATCCGATCAATTGTGTGTCGATGTGGTCTTCAAGGCGACATACGGGTTGTCGAAATACTTCCAAACATCCTTCGGAAGCTTCTTGTTCGTAGTCGACTCTACGATACTGTATGCAACACTTCTAATTGTGGGATATGCCTTCACGGCAAAGTGGGTGACTGCATGAAGGTAGGAGTTGTCTACTCCATACGTTGCCAAAGCTGTAGATGCGGGTACATAGGAGAAACAGGTCGCCCTTCGTTAAAGAACATCTAAACGGGCTGGCTGGATCAAGGATGCATGCGTCACTAGAGTCCGTCGGGTTTTATTCCACGCAGGTCTACCCTTTGACGTTTCC